TTCGGAATCCCGCTTATACTTCTGGGAGTTCTCGGTCCACTATTGCTGAAGCCTACCTTGTAGGATTTTGAGCATAACCTTGCTAGGGCATGAAATGAGTGCAATTGTACGGTAGTTGGAGCATTCTTTGGCACTGCCCTTCTTTGGGATTGGGATGTAGACTCATCTTTTCCAGTCCTCTGGCCACTGTTGAGTTTTCCAAACTTGCTGGCATATTGAATGTAGCACCTTAACAGTGTCATCTTTTAAGATTTTAAATAGTTTTAAGATTTTAAATGGCAGTAACTACATGAGCAGAAAAACCTTAGTGGAATTTGCAGCGATTTTGGTTGTGGCATGTTTTGGAAGGCCTGCTTAGGTTTTAAAATGGTCTCAATAGTGCTGTCAGTAGTAGTAGAAGGAGGATTCCTAGCACTGTCCAGCAGGGGGGCTGCCGGCTGCTCCACGTCCTGTTCTAATTGGAGGAATCCCATTAAAACAGGACATGCAAATGAGGCAGTTTTGTGACTGTCGAAAGACAAATCCTAGTGAAAAGTTTACTGCGAGTTATCTGAAATAGAGATGGGCACAAATAGCCAGTTTGGTGGTTTGGTGCCGTTTACCAGCCAAACGGCTGATCCGTGGTTCAGCGCCCCAACCATTTTGGCAAGTGCCCACTTAGAGGCAGTGCCCAGAGGAGGTAGGGCAGGTGATTGCCACCAAGTGGGCATCTGCTGGAGGAAGCAGGCGCTGAACCGCAGATCAGCGGTTCAGCTGGTAAATGAACCGTGCTGGACCAGACGTTCGTGCCCATCTCTAATCTGAAATGTGTAGTTCCACTACTTGCACTTTCCACTCAACCAGTCCACTTCCCACAGGTAACTTTTATTAGCCAGGAAGGGTAATGGTTAAGTACATATGTGGAGAGTCCGGCCTCTTTAAGGATTCTCCAGGTTCTTTCATTTCTTTGCTACCAGCCTAGTACTTCTTTATATCTCCCCTTTCCTTCAGCTTAGTACTTGTTTAGCATTTATATGCCATGGTGAGAATTGGGTAGGCAAGTCCTCAAGCCATTTAAATTTACACATTTTCAACTGTGCTCATGTCCTATTCATTTCAGTGGAGCTTTGATACGTAGATTGTTTTCTGGATGGTACTCAATATATCAGTTAAGAAAGTGGGTAGTACACACACAAGAGGGGGGAATTTTATGACACAGGAATTGTTAGACAACACACAATCTTCTGGAAAACTGGATTCTACAACAATAAGGTCAGTTATTACACAATGCCAACAACTGTTCCTCTTCTTCACAGTGCGATGAACGTCTCCATTGCTGAATTTCTACGAACCAGTGCCAAATAAGCACTGCTACAATTACGGCCTTTTATTCTTTGGGGCATTTGCTTCACAAGCACTACGCGTATGGGTGTTACAGAAAAGAGAAGGAAGGAACAAGTATGCAGAATACAAACAACAAGGGATACGAGCTGTCTTGCCACCACTCCAATACTTACAGTTAACATGGCAAACATGAGCTGGCACACATTGAAAGCATGCCTCCAATTGTGATACAGAACCATTCGATAATTCTTCCTCACTGTCAAAAGCCACCGACACAGTGTCTGAAACAGAAGTGGACAAATTGCATCGTCAGGGCTGTCCCGCTCGCTGCCAAGACAAAAGCAGCAGATTATCTTAGCAGAGCAGATGGTTACCTCATAGTCAATTCTGAATTTCTGAACCATTCCAAGCTCCATGAACATTCGAAGGGCTGCAGTTATCATGGCATCTGTGTCGAGGGAGAAGTCATCAAAATGGATGTCATCGATGCCAAGTTCAGACACAAGTGGAATGTCTGCTGCCTGAAATTATCCAAAGAGAGTAAGAAGCTTCTCAGGTACAGCTCAGTCTTCTCATCTTCTTTTTCAGAACCAACACTGGTTAAATGGTCTAAATTAGCCATTTTCAACAGGGGGGGTTACCCCCCGGCACATTTGAAGGGGGTCACAGACTGGAAACAATTCTCCACACACCACCTTATAAAGTTCACTGTGTGACTTATACAGTCCTGACTCAGCCTGTATTTCTTTCATATTGTCTTTACGGCTGTGGTTAAAAACAAAAAGTTGAGAATGACTGGTCTAAGTAACAGAAATATTCTGTTTGGTCATTACAGATTCTTAGTGCAAGGGCAGGCAGGGAAGGGAAGGGAAGGGATTATCTGAGTGGGAAACTTGCTTAATTTTCTTGCTGACACCAAAGACTGCAACCCAACAAATACTCTTCCTGCACCCAAAGAAAATGACCTACAAACTTTGATGAAATTGCATTCTGACAAATAGAAGTGATGCACAAGCAATGGTTGGGAAAACTGACTCCCCCCCCTTGCACAGATAACAGAGAATCTAATTTTTAATACTCAAAAATAATAATAGTAAATTCCATTTCTTTTACAATTTAATTTGAGCTGGAAGAAGGCTTATGTATGTGATCCATCTAGACCAGTGGTTGCCAACCTTGGGTTGCCAGATGTTCTTCAATGAAAGCTCCCAAAAATCTTGGCCAGCACAACTAGCGGCAAAGACTTCTGGGTGTTTTAGTCCAAGAAGAAACACCTGGAGACTCAAGGCTGGGAACCACTGGTCTAGACTCAACAAAATTATGGCATATCGTCCACTCTTTTTTCTACCTAAAAATCATTTAAGAAAATGCCATGTATATTGGCCTTAAATCCCAAATGTAGCATTTAAAAACCTGCCTGTTCTATGGCAGCTGAAGTGATTTGGCATTACTACACAGGCTGGCGATTTTAAATTTCAGGAGGAATTGCAGAAATGTCCAACACTTCAATGTTCATGTCTACAAGGCTAGACAACAAGTGTAGTTTGGTGAATCGCCACACCAACATATGTAGGTACTTCAGTGAGGCAGACTGTAAAAATCTTTATGTGAACAACTGATAGCTTTAGAAATTACAAATGGAGTAATGCCAATCGTCTATGAAATTTGCTCCACATTTATTTGTAGTGTTTATTTGTAACATCTGAGGTGGAAACTATTGAGGAAACTTGCATAAACTGTAGATGTGAATATACTCTACAACGTGGTTTTCTTACAAGAGGGTCCTTTCAGAAATTACAAAAAAACAGTTTGGCAGATAAATGATGTGCTGATTAAAACACAGCTAGTTGTTGCTGGCGCTTGTTTGCCTTACAAAATGCTCCTCTGAATAGATGTCTGTGAAAATGTGACAATAAAGTTATAACACAGGACAGATGTGTTTTTTCAATGTGTCAGTTAACTACAGGGATTTTCAAATGGTAAAATAGCAGTGTGTAAATAAATGTCCATCAGTTGATAAAAAACCCGAGTAAAAGACAATTTTCTTCTGTGTCACTCTTTTTATTTACAAGGTTTTACCACCCTATATTTAAGCAGGAGTGTCATAACCCAAAATAATCACTGAATTAATAGCCATGAGGTAACATTTGTATATAATAACCATTTTCTTTACAACTGTAATAAAAGATATGACAGAATGGCAGAATTATATGGGAGGTTTGAAAGTCATTTGAATAATGTAGAAAAGGATAAATATTGAACCCCCACAAAATCTATTGTCATTCTCCAACATCTGAATTGAAGCAAAGTGAGTTTACAAAGAAAACCAGCACTTTTAAAAAACAGCTCTAAACATGTTATTAAAAATGTATGCTTGAAATCTAGCTAATCAGACAGAGTGCTTTAGCTCTCAGATACAACAGGCTAGGAAACTGATTGTCATTCTCTCAGGTTGGATGTTGAAGGAAGGATACATATATTGTAGGGACTGCACAGGAACAGAACATGATACATCTGTGTTTGTTCTATTCCCAGGAACTTACCGGGCTCAAACACAGAGTGGCTGAAATCACATTCCTTAACATAGTAAGTTGCACCAGAATAGACCAATGAAATCCATGGAGGCCAAGAGAATCAAGTCCTCTCTCTTAGTTCCAGTGATTCAAATGGGCCTACTTGCCTTATGACTTACTTTAGCATAATAATCAAAGTACAGTAGGCCCACTTGAAACAGTGGAAGGTATGGAGGAGCTGACTCATCAACTCCCCATTGATTCAAATGAGTTTATTCTAATGCAACTTACTGTGTTCAGCAACAGGATTTTTATCAGGTAGTGATGGTCAAGTCCTGTAAAATGCAACAGAACTGGGGTTAGAGCTAAACTGAATGCAATGTGGGAGATGAACAAAAGGTTCTCCCCCAGAGGAAACCCTTCCTTGCTGTCCTGGTCATCTGAAGTCTGAAGTCAGTCTGAGGAGAAAGCATCTTTTCTATGTCAGCATCCAAACAGAGTAATTTTCTCCCAAATGATGTTTTACTGGGTCCATCTTTCAGGTGCCTGGGAAGGAACAACCTTTTCTCTTGAGCTTTAAATAGTATTTGACTACTTTTAATAGTTTGCATCCCATCCTGAACAGACATTTCTGACTATTTACACTTTGGGTTTTTTATGAGGGTTTCAGCTGTTGGCATATTTTAAAAAAATCATTTTAAATTCATTGTTGCAAGCCTCCTAATAAGATGGGATACAACTCTTGATGCAAATATAGGTAATTTCCTTTAAAAGATCATCTCACCTATTAACACTTGGTATAAAAAAACAACTAATAACACAAAAGCAACACACAAAACCACATCATCATCATCTGTTATATAGTCAATGTTTTTATAATTTTGATTGACTGTGACTGGTGTTTTTGAATACTACTACTACTTATGATGATGATAATGTTTCATCAAGCCAATTCTGACTTATGGCAACCCTTTTCATGGTTTTCCAGGCAGAGAATACTCAGAAGTGGTTTGCTATTCTTTTCTTCTGGGGATGCCCTGGGACTGCCCAAGGCCACATAGGATGGATGTACTCACCAAAGACACAATGAACGCCCAACCTCTGGCTCCACAGCCTGACACATAAACCACTGAGCTATCCACAAAATCAGTAAGGCACCATAAAATTAAGAGAGAAAGATAACAACAACAGGAGCAGCTAAACCGTAAGGGCATGCAAGAGACGTGAACATACTAATCTCATTAAGGCGGACGCCTGCAGGAACAGGAAGTTATTCATCTGTTAGCAGGCCATTAACTCAAAAAGTGTTAAGGAATATACCTCTGTCGTCCTCTAAAAAAACGCTACTTAGGAAAGAAGGAAGGGAGGGCAGTTCCAACACAGAAAGGACCACACTATAGCACAAACATATTGGAATGTGTATATTCAGAAATAAACCTCAGACCATGGAATCCCGGGACTTAGAATGGATCAATCAATCTGCCAGTTTTGGTTTCTCCCGTGTTCATTTTTTAAAAATCTATCTTTCCCCCATGACTATGAAGAAATTGCATGCTGCATTTTGGTAAATTTTTATTAAAGTGAATCAAATGGACATGCTCATCCACCTCCATTTATCACCATCTCTAAAGCAGGCTCAGCCTTGCTTAACTCTTGCAAAATCAAGCCCGAAACAGCTGAGATAAAATGTACAGTATATGCACGATGGACACCCATATAAAAGGACTGAATACAAGTCAGGGTTTCTTAACTCACTAACAAATATAATACTTATGCTGCTGTCTCCTGTTATTTCCCTTCACAACTACCAGACCCATATTTTAGTAAACTAGAAATGGTCACGAACCATCTAGGCCCCTTCCAACTTCACTTTTCTAACCAGAAAAATTGTGGTCACAATTTATGGTCACCGTCACACCCGGCATGATTGTCCTTTCCAGAGAATCCTGCTTTCTCAAGATGTGCCCAAAGCAGGACAGTCTCAGTTTCAACATTTTTGCCTCCAGAGATAATTCAGGCCTAATCTGATCTAGGGCTAGAGATTGGCATGAACCAGTTTGCACCACTTCTTCCCAGTTAATAAATGTGGCAACACAGGTGCTGCTGCTCTCCCTCCCTGCCTCCTCTGGCTCAATCAGCCCCTCAGCAGGCCCAGCTTGCTACCTTCTGGAACCTCCTCCACTGATCTTCCAGTCCCGGCAAGAGCTCAGGCTTCTCTGCCTGGTCCTCATGGCTGATCTCCCACGCAGGCAAAAAGGGGCAGGGCAGAGAAGTCTTTGTGCTCTTGCTCCTGACTGGGTGATTAGCCAAGGAGGTGGAAAAAACAAGCACACTGGGTATGTTGAGTGGCTGTTTGAGCCAAAGGAGGCAGGCGAGAGAAGTAGCAGCATCTGTGCTGCTGCCTTTACGAACTGGGACAAACCGGTTCATGCCCATCTCTATGCAGGACCCACCTTTAGTCTTTCTAGCATTCCAGTGTCTCCACAAAGCTCTCCTCCAGTACCATTTTTCAAACGAATCATTCCCCCTCCATTAGGTTTCTTAACTGCCTGAAGAGGAAAGGATAAAAGTGAGGGGGCCAACTGAACTACCAGCGCCACTTTTTCTGAAAGACTATATTTAAACTAGCTTTAGAATTGGTGATTGTTAAGGGGAGGGTGTTTTCTATTCTGTTCCCTTCACCCCCTTCTCCTCCCTCCTGGTTTGTGAGAAGCGGACAAGGCAGCAGGATAGCCTGCTCGTCTGGGTAGGGGTTAAGGAGTCTACCAACTGGGGAAACAGGCAAGGAAGGATCATCACACCAAGTTTGGCCCTCCTCTGTCAACACGTAGAGCACAGTCCATTATGTCTCAGAAAAGCCTCCCCCAGCATTCTCTGGGTGGGTTTGACTGCAACTGCCATTATCCCCAGCCAGTGCAGTAAAGGGAAGTCTTCTCACTGCTCTGTGAGGACTGGCCACATACTCCTCCAGATGGCATCTGATTAGCTTCCCTTGCTGGTCCTCAGAA